AAAGGTTGTAGCTATTTTAGAGATACACAAGGCAGACTGGTGACCCATTTGTCCACCCAAAAGTTGTCATCTTTTTTTTAAGACTAAGTGAAACTCATTGGCTGTTGCAAAGAGCGAATTTTTTTTTAATTGTGTAAAAGCAGAAGTGACCTAAAGATGGTATAAATAGCCCTAGAAATCCTGATGTTTAAATAAGACAGTTGATTTCACTTTTTCCATCCTGCAGCCATGTTCTGCACCAATCGTCCCATAATTCTTCATCTGAAGCAGGCACTTGCATATAGAGGGAGAACTGTCTGCCCACAGGGCACTTTGAAACCCTGAGACCTTGCAGTACTTTCTGTTTTCTTTGCTCTTTAAATACTGACTAGGCATGTACACACTGACTCTGAAACCAGAATTTTGACTCACAGAGAGTATAAATGTAATGTGGCCTCAGTGGAGATAATGAGCGCTCACTGAAAGTTACGCCCACTATCTGGGGCTGAATCAACTCTAACACCACTGGCACCGCGACAATACGTAAGGAGTTTGTGTACATGGTGGTGCATGCGTAGGTGGCATTATCTGTGGTCTTCAGAGGCCCGGCTGTACTTCCATTGAATTTAGCTGAGGCTTTTTCTCTGGCGTGGTGAGAGGGAAGATTTAGGCCCTGTTTAGCAACAAGCTTAAATTCGCCACTTTTTAACTTTTAGGTGAAAGTTCTGCTTTTTTTCAGTAAGTGTGTGTAATATAATGTGTGCTCAGTCCAGTTTCTTGATTCTAGAATGAAACTTGTCGTTATCACTGTGATCTTATTTAAAGAAAAAAATCTATAGAGGTTTCTTAGGAGTTTTCAAGTACAAGTGAACATCGAAAATAGGAAAGAAAGATAGCTAACCAGGAAAATAGGTTATTTTGAATGTTTAAAAACTTACAAGAGGGAAAACCTAGACACTTTCTTCACGCAACTCTCGCTAGAACACTTTGCAGTCTCACTTTAAGCTCTCATGTTGCCCACATTTTGTGAATGCTTGAACAGAATTTTCAAGAGTAGTCTGTATTTACTGCACAGCTACCAAAGTGTGTTTTAGTGGTTCAGATGCCCATTTATAAACATCAGTGACCATCTTTCATTATGAAATTTTGTGTATTAATGTTGCCTTTAAAATTATTGGCAAATCTGTTTTCTCATGATAATCAGTCACTTCTAAAGCACAAGCTATAGCATCTAATATATAATTCACTTTAGTGGAGGCAATTATGTTGATTGCGAAATCCATCAGAATACACAGGCTCTAAAAATAAGAGTGTATGTGGCAGTCCATATTTAGCAAATTGAGGTTATTAATCAGACCCTGTTCCTTGCATATCATTCATCCATATGTTAAGCATTTTTCAGCACCCTTGTCAGGGAGCAGCAAGAGCAGGCAGCTCCGTAAGGGAAGGTAGGCAAGAACTGAGGGTGACAACAGTGCTGGCAGGAGCAATGTCCTCACCAACAAAGGTTCAAGTGACCAGAAAGGTCCAAGGCCAAGCTAGGAAGCCAGGACAGCGTTGGTAAGTTACAGGGCTGGTTAGAGGCGTTACCTATAATGTAGCTCAAGCAGAGGCCTGGGGAAGTAGCTGGGCTTGAGCACATCTCCTGGGCACAGGGGGCCTTCATGGAGACCCTGGATGGGCCGCTCAGGGTAGTTACAGTTCCTTGGTGTACTGAGAGCCTCTCCAGGACCCTGGGAGGGTAGATAGAGAAATAAATAGACAAATAGAGTAGCTTTTAGTTGGAGACCCTTTCTGCAGACTGCAATTCTGTATGAAGCTGTAAAAATGCTGACAACTCATACAAACAATGGGATTAGAAAAGCAGGCACTGTCATTCCCTGAAATGCTGAGGGCTCATGACTGCTTTGAGAGGGAAACAGGTGACTGACTGACATCCTCCTCAGATGCACAAGGTCAGACTACTGAACACGTGCAGTTACTTTCACACGTGTTTTGGTGCAGAAAAGGAGTGGTACCCGTGAAAGATGGGAGCATTGACATTTCAGATCTCATTGCTCTAAAAGTCAGAAGAACAAAACCTCATTTCTCCGTGTCTTCAAATGTTCTGGCTGAAAATAAGAGTGATCTTCAGATTCTTTTTGCTTTCTAATGTGGTAGTGAATTTTGTTACAGGCAAGCCAAAGACTATGATAATGAGAGTGTGAACTGGTGAACTCAAATTCCTGAGCTGCCACCAGCTTCTCATGTGACTACAAGTAGCTCTTAAATAGATCCTCAAACATACACTTCTGTAACAAGGATGTAATTGTTAGCACACAGCAATGGCAATAAATTGAGTCAAAGAGTAGGAATGTCCTTCAGGACTATTTTCTTCTACAGTAGTGCATATGCTGTATTTCCCAGATAAATAAATTTTTCTTGGGCATATTCTGCCTTATCCACACTGACACACAGAAACATTTCTGACATAAAGAATCCAAGCATAGGTATTGTAACCTTCAGGCTCCTGGAGGGAATCTGGATAGTCCAGAGAAAAGCTTCTAAGAGAAGAACATGATTGATTGAGTCTTGGCTAAGATATGTTCATAATGAAAAAAAATCCATTCTTATATTTGCTATGCAACTGGAGCAAAAAGGGTCTTTAAAAGAACCCTGCAGGGAAGACACTGCAGCACAGACATGTAGTGAATACAAGGGTTTTGTTAGATGCAGTACTAGATTAATAGTGTGGGAAGCTAATTCCTCTCTCCTACTCCTGGTGACCTCATGGGTTTTTTGCCAGTGCTAAGAACTCTGTGATCTGAAGATGCTTTTTTGTCAAAACCTATCCTGACAGAAAGTTGGACAGTTGGCCACCTCTACAACAACAATTTTTGTTGGAGGTAGCAGGAGATGCTCATCCCAAAATATACCCATAATGGCACTCAAGGAAGTGCTAAGCTAACCAAAGATGCCTATACAGGGACCATGAGAATGTGGTTTACAAGGGCTTAATCGAGTGCAGACAACAGGGAGTTTGGGTTTTTTTTTTCTGTTCAGATGGTATTAGACTTGTTGGACTAGACAAAATTTGACCCCATGACTTCTCAGAACTGTCTACACATTTCTATAAAATATGTATTTTATTGCTAATATTTGCAAGGGCTTTAGTGATTTTTTTTTTCTTGTTCAACGAAATAGCCATTTTTTGAAGGAAAAGAGAGCAAAATGCTTCACTGTAAAAGGAGCTAAATGTCAAAGACCATCTTTCTCCTCAGTATTCTCTTACCACTGTACTGATTGTGGATGCAACCTAGGTACCAAGGGTCCAGAATTCATCCCCTCATCTTTTTGTCTCATTTCAGCATGCATGCCAGTGCACTAGTGTGAGTGTACACTAATTTTAAAATGGATGGAGACTGAGGCTATAGAAACTGTTTGTCTGCTCTACTTGGTGTGTGATGTGGATTTGTGCCTGTATTTGTAGATTTTGTAGCCACAGAAATTGCTTTGGAACCAGAGTGGATCTGGGAGTGCAGGGAGTAGAGAAAAAGGCCATGGCTTCTTATGGGAGTGGAAAGTGAAAAACTATGAAACAAAGTAGACCAGATAACATACACAAAATGAGGAAAACATAGACAAAAACTGCATTAAAATATAACTTCATTTTACATCAAGTAACACCTGTAACTGCAGCTGGAGTTGTTAAAAGTGCATGTCATCAGTTCCACTGAAATAGCATCCACTGGAGTGGGTTTGCATGCATTTGCAGGTGACTTGTCAGAAATAAATGTTTCCATGGAGTTGTGAAATATGTAATTCATCTGGCTACCTTAAAAAATCAAAGCTAAATATAAGATGAGCACTTCCTTCTTCCCAGTGACTGCAAGAGTTAGGCTCTTATGTGAACCTTTGCTCCTGCAGCAGAGAAGCTGGCAGGCAGGAAGCAGGAACATTCCTAACCACAACCAGTAAATATGGGCTCTTTTTGCTGATCTTAGAGACCACAGACAAGTGAAGGTTTTCTTACCTACACTGATCAAAAGATTCCTCCATCTCACACATGGGAAGGTGCTCTGAAGTAATGAAGTGGGTAAATATTGCACGATAAGGAGTTGTGCTGTACTCATTGTCTTACTGGTAGAGGACACTGTGCAATATTCAGAGTTGATGTGAAGTATTTGTTGCTAAATAAAGTCTATTGGAAATGTACTTCATTCAAGGCTAATGGAGTCCATAAAGAATTCAGGATCAAGCAACGTGACGCAAACCATAGTGCTGTTTACGTAGCCTTAAGTTTCATTTTCATCCTTGTGTCCTTTCAGTATTTATCTGTCAGTATTCCATTTTATTAGCTAAGATTCTGTTCTGTCTGAATGAGGTGGAGGCAGAACAGCTCTGAAGGAATTTGGATATAGAAAATCAATAAAATATTTTTTTTTCTCATTATATCTAATACATGATACAATTTTTTCATTTTTTGGTCTCACATTATTTTCTGTTTTAAATATTGGTTATAGCAGACTATACTGTATGAGACTTAAATTTTATCTGGAATTGATTTTTAGCTAAAATCTTCTTAGGTTGAAATTTTGCGATTTCTAAATATAAAGTAAAAATAAATAAACCCATGTATACACTTTCTTAAAAACCTATTTGACGAATACAGCAGCAGCTCCTGATAAAAATCTTATGTATTATGAGTTATGCACACATAGTTTAAAAATGTTTTTGCCATTTTTTTCTTTAATGTGTTAGTTTCCTGGCCATTAAACAACCTCACCCCAAGTATCTCATACATTTTGTATATGATGTCTGTAGTCTAAAGCAGATTTTATAATTTTTTAATGAATCTCTGTATCTGACCTATCGTTTTAGTTACAATACTGGTAGCACTGTTCCCATATTCAAAGCCTTTTAGACTAGAGGGAGAAATCAAAACAAAAAAAGCTAGCAGTAAAATAGAGATGAAGCCTCTAGATTTCTGGTCTCCTGTGTTTGTGAGATAGTAGCAAATTCTGTGTTTTGTTCTGTTCCAGCCGTTTACCTCTGCAAGCGGACAATGCAAAACAAAGCAAGGCTAGAGCTAGCAGACTATGAAGCTGTAAGTACCTGGGGAAAAGTAAATTTCTCAGCTGGGCCTAATGAGCATCTGCAATAATGTTAGGCATGAGAACTATAGGCATTATGTCTGAAAATTTATTAGTTATCCACTTCAGCCAGCATGTGGGTCTGACAGTGCTCAGTAGTCACCAGTGCTGTTTGAGAGACTATAGTGAAGGCTAGCTGGGCAAAAGTTGAGATTTTGGTCCATCACTAATCTCACTTTGCTCAGATCATCGTGCCAGGATCAGAAACAACTGTTCACAAATCCCAGATAGCCATGAGTGTTTGAAAGCAATTGTACTCTACACCGTGTAAGGTTTGAATGAAGGATTTCTGACAACATTTTCAAAAGCACTTGATAGCTGTAGAAATAGAAATCTCATTCTTAAAAGTGATGCTGGTGCTTGAGTCCTTGTCCCATCAGTTAGATGAGAGGTAAAGAGGGTCAGACTAGAGGCACTTTCCACTCCTTGAAAGTTGTGCTGTGCCCCAGGCAAGGTAAGATAATTGGGGACAGGAAGAGCCAGAAAAAGAGGGAGTTTGATTAGCTGATGAGGATGGCACTCGCTAAGGAGAGAGATGTCCTGAATTCCATCCATATCCCCCCAAAAGTTCCTGAATTTTTCATGAAAATGTTAACATAAAATTCATGAACAGCCCTGGCTCTGCGCTGAAAGCTGTCCAGCTGTGCTGCTGTGACATGATAGCAGGATAGTCAGCCAGGCCTCTCAACATGCCAAATACTCCGGCCGCAGCACCATGCTGACACACTTTATTGCTTCTTCTGGCACAAGCTTGCTTTTCAGTGTACCGCACTGTGGGGTATGCATGATTTTATACTTAGACGCCTTAGAAAATTCACCTCCAGTATACAATCCGCGAGAGCCTTTACTGGTATTGACAAGATGTCCAGAAAGTCTCCTCTTTGCTCTCTGCAGTCTTTATTTTCAGTAAGTATGTCATAGAGATACATTTGCAATGCATAGAAATACAATTAACGCAATACTTTTTATTGGGAAGTTTACAGACAATTTTTCCCTTAGTCTCAGTGAAGCCAGTGCACAAAGGTAACTGGGGTCTTTTTGGAGGAAGATAAGAACCTCAGCCTTCTCCATGTTAACAGACTGTACACTGCTGCCATTTAAGCTGAAGGGAGATTGGAAAAGCTCTGTTACAGACAGCGAAGCTGTTCCAGCATTGCTGGAGGAAAGAATTTTGCTAAGCTTTTACAAATCTTCTTCCTATTATTAGTAGTAGACTGTAGGATATATATATTTCCTGTACGGTAGTGAATAACTGTAGTCTGCATTTTTTAAAAATAAGAATAGCTGTGGAGGTCTTGGAAGATTCCTATACTACCAAAATATTCATACCTTCTTCTTATTGTATTTTAAATAAATTGATAGGCAGCCAACATTGTTCAATGCAAACCATTTGTACAGATAACTGATGGGAATTGTTATGTGGATCATCCGGTATGGAAAGTACTGCTGTTATCTTTCAGTATTAGGTCCTTTCAAAGCAAGGTGTTTCTTTGTAGTATTACAAAATTACTCAGCCAGTACCGAGTATATAAAAATGCTTCAGAAATCCCATGTTCTGCTGAAGATTGCATCCACCCTTGTCATCAGTTTCAAAACTAAAATAGTCAGAACATTCAAAAGTAGATAGATCTAGTATTCCGTCCCGCTTGATGTCAAGCAAAGACTTTATATCAGATAAGTAAGGTACATTTACACTGGCACAGATATCATGACTTGTATTACACACCGGGGAGGTGGAGGGAGGAGGCAAAGATAAGCTAAAAGCTATTAAATAGCAAATAACTTACAACCTAATCCACTGAAATTGTGATGTATTTTCAGGAGAGTTTGGCCAGGCTACAGCGAGCATTTGCTCGGAAATGGGAGTTTATTTTTATGCAAGCTGAAGCACAAGCAAAGTAAGTTCCTTTGAAGGTGAGGGGTTTTGGTTTTGCATGCTTTTTGAAGGGAGAAGGGGAGGGAAAAGTGATTGGACACTTCTTGTGTTTAAAATTACTGTCATTAACACTGTTTCTTCTAAATATCCTATAACATTGACAGAGTGGACAAGAAGAGGGACAAGATAGAGAGGAAGATTCTTGACAGCCAGGAGCGAGCGTTCTGGGACGTGCACCGGCCGGTGGTGAGTGCCGGTGGGGCCACTCTGCCTGTGAGCGGGGCTGCTGATAAATGTCAGCCTCTGTGGAGCGCTGGGGTAGCCTGGGAACAAGGGAAAGGACTGGGGGTTGGGGCCCGACTCTCTTTTTTGCAGGATCTGTAGTTTATATCATTCTACTGTTGAAGACTGCAGATGTGTGTATGCTCAGTTTGGGGTTTTCAGTGAACAGAGTTGTGTCTGATTTCTTGAATCAGAAGATACCTGTCTTTGACTATTACCATCTCAAAGGTTTCCCAAGGTATGAGTCACACAACCAAAATTATCAGCATAGCTAAAAATACTTTTAAAATAATCTCTTTTTTTAAAATCTTCTTTTTTGCTCGCTAAGCCTTTCAACTTCACTCCGGTCATACTTCCAAGCTATTTTTAATGTACATAAAGGTTAGATATTGTTGGCTTTGAGCTGTGGGAGTCATAAACTGTCTAAACAAGATTTGTCTGGGTTGCTTGTCAAAGTCCATCTGAAACAAAATTTTTAAAAAAGGGTCTTACATAATCAACTCCCTTTGAGAGCTAAAACTTTGAGAAAGAATGTTGAATGTCACAAGACATCCAATTAAACTGTGAAAGCTCAATAATCACACTTTTTTGCTTTACCACAGTATTATATCTGTTTCCCTTACCTAGAGTTAAGCTTTCATTTTCTGTGTACAGACCTCGGTATCATTATCAATGAAACCGAATAGGGATTATATCTTCCACTGTGACATTGGAAAAGATAGTTAACTAAAACTAATTGTTTTGGAGAAGTAAAGTTAGATTGATTATACCTGTAGAAGAGGTGAACATGGTGAGAAAGTTTCAAATAAAAAACAATAAACTTGGGCAGGGTGAGCTTGCATTTGTGAATGTGGAATTGAAAAAGCAGTAGAAGAAATGGTTTTTAGGTAGGACTTAGAATGTCAAGTAGAGAAAATCATTTGAAGTGAAACATTCAAACGACAGGCATTAGATACAAAAAGACCAGGACATTATTGTCTAGTCACTGACATAAAATAAGGAAGGAGGACAGAAAACAGATCTGCCATCTGATGTTAATGGGTGCTACAAACAGAATAGATACAGAAAGTTTCTATGGACCTGAGAACTTTGAAGGTGCAGACAGCTTTTATATTAGCTGCAGAAATGTATCTAAGGGGTTTGAATCTGGGAATGAGATGCTATTTCCAGGTTTAGAAGAGAAGATGAATTGTTGAAGTTTCAAGTTAAGAAATAGTCAGACAATAAGGAGACAATTAAAGGGACCGGGACAAGAGGAAATTTAATCTGATTAAGAGCTTTGGCTGAACTGTGGATAAATCAGACTGGTCCAGCAGATGTTTTTAATCTGGCTGTAGACATACCTAGGAAATATCAGATGCAAAGGACTGGCTTACAGTCAGCAAGGTAGGCTCCTGACTAGATATAAATAGAAGAACAGAGAGGCTGATACTTTGGGTAACAAGTTTCTCTCACTAGTTAGTGAAATACTCATTTTGAAAATGTTGTTATGAATTTACTGTCACAGTAAAAGCCAGAAGCTTCTGTTAAAAAGAATAAAAAATAAAAGAGGAACAGACTGAAAAGAGGAGGGTGATGCTAGAGCTAATTTCAATTTCTAATGGCTTTTCAAGCCCTCCAAAAGCAGAAATGTTGCTGGAACCTGGAAAGCTAATTTTGGAAAATTAGCTAATGTTTGGATAAGAATCTGGGGTCAATGATTATTTTTATTTACAGTTTTTCATCTGTTGATAAAAATTCAGAGGCTAGGGACAATGAAAATATTATTCAAAATCCACCTCAATTTATTTTTTTTTTCAACTGGAAATGAATTTTGAGGACTAAATGTTTCATTATTTGGCTTTTTTGATTAGGAGAGTAAATAAATATTTTCTAGGATTTTTTTGCAGGTGTTCTGATCCCTAGTTGCTTTATGTCTTACCTACCTGGCTATAGTGCTGGTACAGAACCTTAGAAACATAAAATATAATCTATGAATATTAAATCTGCATTTTATTTCAAAAAATAGATACTTTAAGGTAATGAAAGGAATAGAAGAGGGAAACGAGCCATCAGTCCAAAAGGACAGTGTAGCAGTGCACTACAGGAATGGGAGTCATGAAAAAAAGAACAGCTAAATGACAGTGAAACGAGGAGAGTGTAGCTGCAGAAAAAGAGCATGATTTGGGTATCAGAAATGTCACTGTGACTGAGAAGTTTAAAATAAAGGAAGTGAACCAAGGTTTGATGTGTAAAGAGCATTTGCCTGAAAAAGCACCTTTATTTCAAAGGTCCAAAGCAAAAGTCAATCCTGCAGGTGGTTACAGAGGCCCTAGAAGATTTATGCCATAGTCTCAGACAAATGCTTGAAAGTCATCATGGCTGTTACTTTTGATCAGCTGTCTCGCTAGTGCCCTCAATTTTTTGCTAGGTTTTGAGACTGAGATGATGCTTGGAGATGAACCAGAGAAAGTGCGTTTGGAGAGGAGTTTTTTTTAAACAGTCACCTGTTTAATTTTCTTTCGAGGCAGTTAAGAAAACAGCTTTGACATCTCACTGATCAGTTTCCATTCCAATATTTATTTCATTGAAGTTTCACTATGTATTTAATTTTTTATTTTGCTCTGTATTTGAGTGTAATGTGGAGTGTATTCTCAGTCATTTCTGTAAATTCCAGTTACTGCATTATGTAGAAAGATCTTAGCTTGCAGCTGGAAAGAACATGAACTGAGCTTCAACTGTAGGTACTGCAGCCTGCAGAGCCATTCCTGAACAACTTTTAATCTTACTAGTTCAGACAGTAATCACAATAAAAGTATAAACTTCCTTGAGATCCTGAGCAGCAGACCATGCCATTATTTCTAAGGTTTGGCCAGTACCTAACATAGGGCTGAGATTAATATTATTCACATATAGTGATGCATTTCTCTTTGTGATGGCAGAGCAAACGTATCTCAAAAGCCTTCCTTTTCTTTCCACCTGCCTAGAAAGTGTATCATTTTCATGATTTTGAAACTTCTATCAATAACACACTATGGAACTGAGCGAAAATTGGTTAGGAGGATTAGGGCGTTAGTCAAAAGGCAGTAACAAATCAAACTAAACCAGGGAAGTCAGTCCCTTCCAGGCAAAACAAATTAAGAAGTTGCTTTTTTTGAAAAGAAATTGCACGCTCCTGATTAAAGGCTTTATAAAAGAACGCATAGCTTTCCTGAATTATGATCTCTGTTTAAAACCCATCATCTTACACTTGTCAAAAAGGGACAAACAGGTACTAAACCAGTGAATCTCCTGAAATATTCTCAAACCCAGATCAAATACAGTAGGAGCAGAATAACTGCAGCTTCCTGTAAAACTAACTCTTTCAGGTAGCAAGCAAGGACAACTGATGACGATTCACTTTTCTTCCTGAGTTACACCGTAATGTAATTTAAATGAAATGCATAATAAAGACCTGTTGGGTACTTGTTGAGATTCAGATTAATTCAGAAAATAATGGGTGAAGCATCCTTTTCTCCTGAAAGTCATCTGCATACTTTTTAATTATAATAATTTGAAAAAAGCTTTTTATTTTCTCCAACCTCCCACCTGCCACCCCTCAATATTTGTGTGATTTAATACAGTGAGACAAATTATCCAGGGTGGGTATGTCTGGTAAGGACAGCAGCAACGTTAAGGGCAAGTGTGGCTTTAAGATAACTAAGTGATGATGTAAAATTCAGAAATATGTATGATTTCTGGATTTGAGGGTTTCATGCCATTGTTTCCTAGTAGCAAACTAGTAAAAAAGTAATCTTTAATTTTTTTTAAACTTTGTCACACATCCTACAACTCTTGCTTCTCTATTTTATTTTTGTATGAGATTTTCTCTCCATTAATCTTATTTTATCTGTTTTTATTTTAAAATTGTATGTGGTCTGAACATGATCCTTCACATCCGAGCTGGTGGGTAATATTACTGGGTGTCTAGGGTCATGCAGCGGATACTTGCGGTTATTTGTTCTGGGTTTTCTTTTCTTTTCTCTCACTGCTTTGGTTTTTAATGACTTTTCCATCCTGTCCTTCAAGATCAGCCTCAAAGACTCAGCAAAAGCCTGAATTTAGCTTGGCTAAGGTGGCACAATCCTTCATTTCACACTTTGCGTGCTACATATCCGAGACTTTTTCTGGGCCAGTCACTTGTTTAGCCAGAGAACATTTCTGTCTGCTTTATCATAATATTTTCAGAAAGTTTTTAAACATCTCCAGGAAACGAATGTGAATCATGCCATCCAACTTCTCTAGTGATGTATCTGCACGCACTTTTCATGTCTTCTTTTGCACCCGTTTCACTGTATATCCTCCCAAGGGAGTTACCTCTCCAGCAGACAGAATGCAGCCAAAGCAGCAATTGGCGGTCTCAGATAATTGCGCTTCCGGTAATGAAAGAAAGCCTTGTACGGCGATGTATTTTCAGAAAATGGTTATAAAGTTTACGATCCATGCTCACATCTGTTTGAGGCAGATATTAAAAACCTTATAGCTAGCCTGCTAACTACAAGACCTTTATGGAAGAATTTGTACTCCCATTATTTAGCATTGTTATTTAGTCTCACACTTGAGTAAGGGTGGGAGAGATGGGGAAAAAGAAGCCAGCTTTCTTGCAACAGTGCAACCAACTGAAAGGGCTCAAGTTATAACTGAGGATTAAAAAGAGATAAGAAATTGTGAAATAACTAACTGAAGGATAGGAAAATGAGATGATGTTAGTTTTTAGTAAGACCTTAGTTCTTGTAGCAACTAGGAAAATAAGCCGAAGTAATAAGGATAAGGAATTTTTTGAACAAGTGCAATGTTTATACATTGATTATTGTTTCTGTGTGAATTAAATTTGCTACTTCAATCTGTCAAGGGTCTCCTTATAAGTCAAAAGGCAGATAGATAGATAATCAATTTCTAAATGTCACCTATATTTGCCATCAACATTTTCAGGGACGTGTGGTCAG